CAGGAGCTGGCTTGGACCCGAACACCTGAACTGTAGCGGTAACTGAGGGTCGCCCTGCCAGCGCCTCGGCGTGGTGCTCAGACACTGCCCGTCACAGAGCCCACACGGGCTCCCGAGGCAGCCTGCGAGGTCTTCCCTGGCCCTCCTGGCAGGAAAAGCCTAGTGTCTTAGCAAATCTTCCTCCCTAAAACTCAGGCCAACTAATAAGAACGGCTTAAAGTGTTGGCTTATGTTTAGCTGCGTAGGCTTGCTTATGGGTAAGTTGTAAGTACACAGTGACATTACCATTTCTGTCAGAGGCTTCCAGAGGACTGCAGGTGTCAACTGCACTTGGCTGTGGTCTCCTGCAGAACACAATGCCTGTTCATCTTGCTGCCAACATTAGATCACACCAGTTTCAACTAAATCAACATGAAAAAAATGTAATTTTATTTTTTCTCCATTAAAAGAACAACTATAAAGTATTGTTAACTTCAGGAAATAATGAGTCCCAAAATCATACAATCTCATATAGTACTTTCTACTGCTACATGGTTTAACTTTGGGGTGTACTAGGACTAAGCTTCAAGCTTCTTTTTATGGGACACTCATAAACCTGCTGCTTATTGAAAGTTCAGATCTGCAATAATTTGCAGACTTCCAGGACATTACATTTTTAGGAAGGATCATCAGCAGTAATAAAAATGCAATAAAATGTAAAAAACGGTAATAAAAATGACAGTTTTAAAAGGTAGTATCTGTTTCAGTAGCACAAACTCAGATGTTAGACTGCTGAATATGTGCATTACTAATTCGGGAACTTTTTTATTTTAGCCACTGCTTTAAGACGAAGACATCATGGATGAATATGAAATCATTAAAAAAATTGGAGAAGGATCTTTTGGCAAAATATTCTTGGCAAAAGGAAAAGTGGATAATGAGCAGTGTGTTATCAAAGAGATCGATTTAAGTAAGGTAAACCAACAAAACCTGGGTGATAACAGTAGTTATTTACCTGATCATGTTAATTACATTTAGCAGGGGTATGAACTTGGGTTATGTTTTATCTCCTTTGTGGTTCCATATTCATTATATAGACTTAAACTTTCTGAAGACTGTACTCTGTGCTAATGTAGTGATTTTACAAGTGTAGACAAAATGCGTATTTTGATAGTGTATTTACTTTTTACTTCATCTTTGTACTTTCAAAAACTTTTCCCTACCTTCAGTGCCTGACACTACTTAATGCAGATTTTACACTAGAGGATTCAACTACAATGAAACTATTACCAATGAAATAACAAATCACAATCTTGTGATATGTTTCTCTAAACCTATTAATTTCCTTTCCCCCCTTCCATATTTTCAGGCTTGAGTAATTCACAACATTTTTCCAGTTCTCACTTATGTTTATGGCAGTTTGATTCATCTAATCTCATTTTAAATTTCCATTCTGCTGCTCTCAGCATCTGAGCTGCTTGGCTACACTCCCTTTCTAGGACAACAGGAGAAATACCTGTTTTTAGGAAGCTGTCGATCATGTGAACTTTAGAATGAGCTGAATCAGGCCATAAAAGTGCTCTCTTCTTTCTGTTGATCAGAGGCAGGTTAGGGTGAGTAGCTCAAGTATCAAAGAAATACCACTTCTGTATCTAGTTCCAGAAAGACAGGCAATTTCAGTGCGTGCCTACATGCTTTTGTCAGGTGTTTTGCTATTCTGGGCCACACTAGTGAATTTTTAATATATTAGAGAATTATAATAAAAGAATTAAATTTTATACATCAGTTTTAGAAAGAGCTGTATAACTGCTAGTTTCAAACCCAGAAAAATTGATATGCTAGTTATGGCAGCTGAAGAAAAAAATAGTTTCTCTCTACACTCATAACCAATAAAGCCCACACATGTCTAATCTTAGCTTTTTATGTACACAAAATAGAAAAATAGAAGTTAATAAAATATTATTGTGGATCCCACTCAGGAGCTGGATAGAGAGAATTACTACATGGAAGTCATAAGATTTTTTTTTATATGGTAGAATGTGTTTCATTCACTTTCTGATTTTTGAATCTTTGAATCTTATGTTTCAAAATTATTTCTTAAGAATGAGGGTAAGAAATTTTATAAATGTAAGAGGACATTTTGATGGGTGGATCCTCAGAGGCATGAACTTCTAAGAGGTTGTATTGATGAAAGTGTGATCACAATGAACCAAATAGAAGTTTTCCATTGAACATAACAGGGCAAAATTTGCCCAAAATGTTACAAGAACTTGTAACACCAGTAAAATGAAGGACTTTTTTTTTTCTTTTTATTCTTTTGAGATCACCCATATTAGAAATACAGAGTCATCTAGATCCTTATTCTTCAAATACTTGAGGGAAATTCAACCTCAGAGTTGAACTCTATCCATCAGCTAGCTTAGCAATAGCATGTGTGTAAGAAGTTCAAAGGTAGACATTTGCCTGCTTGTATAATGTCATAATTTCGCTTGACTTCACTAACGTTCCAATATATTTCCAAGCATACACTGCAAATTGGTACTTTACATTGTATACACATCATATTTCATAATATTTCTGCATCACCTGGTACACTGTCTTTTTGTATTTGTGGGAATGGTTTGATAACACTGTAACTATTTTTGAAAAGATTAAATATATCATTGCTAGCATATAGTTTCTTAATTCTTTGCAGCTACCTGTGAAAGAAAAGGAAGCGTCTCAAAAAGAAGTCATTCTTCTGGCCAAGATGAAGCATGCAAATATTGTAACCTTCTATGCTTCTTTGCAAGGTTTCTTCTTAACATTTTTGTTTTATTTGTGATTGTAGGACTGGAAGGCAGCAAAAGCAGCCTTGCTAATTTTGCCCAACCTTAAGCCTGTCCTCAGTGTCTGTCTTACCAGTGGGGATAGGTTCTAACTTCTAAAAATGAACCTGAGGTATCAAATTCAGTCATCACTTGCCCTGTTCATGTGTATGTGTGAGCTAAGGTATTGTGGCATAAATGCTACATCCTGCAGTGTCTGCGTGGTTTAAGCTGAACTTTAATCTTGGTCATCATAGGACTCCAAAGTTTAATGAGAATTTTTTGGGAGATTCAATAGAAGAAAAGAGCTTTTGAGTATAGCAAGAAATAGGTCCTGTTGGCCTTTTTTCTTGAGCCATATTTTGAGGTATCACTCAAGGATACAGAATTCTTCAGGACTGAAAGAGATAGAACAAAGTCTGTTCTCCATAAGAGCTGATTCCCTATATTTCTTTTTTTGCTGACAGCTGTCATAAGCAGTGCCTTATGAAATGAGTGCTATAGTTATGGCTTGTGTTAAAATTGTTTTCTGTGATCAGGACTGCAAATTTTTGAAGGGACACATAAATCTGGTGGTTTTCGGGACCCCAGAGAGGTAAGAATAGGGTGATTTTCCATATAACATAGTTCCTGTTGTTTATTTCTACTGCTTGGACACTGTCTACTTCTAATCTTTCCCCTAAGCCTAGCTGTATGCTTAGTAATTATTGGGGAACAATCCCAACTATGAAGCATTATGCTAAGCACAGCCTGTAAGAACATCTGTCTTTCTATCAGTGTGGTCTCTTGGGGGTTTTCTCATGTATTTAATATTTTGGTGAATCTCCATTTAAATGTATTTTTGTATCTTAGTTTTTGCATCAGGTTTCACTGGAAGTATCCGTTTTTTCTCGTTTACTCCTTGAAAGGGAGGAGTGGGTAGAGGATTAACTACCACCTTTTGGAAGAAGGACCATATAAAATAAAAATAATCTATTGATGTATTAATAAGTAATAAAGAAATAAAGGCAAAAATATACTTTTCCTTTTAGAAAAGAACAAGCTATATATTGTGATGGAATACTGTGATGGTGGAGACTTAATGAAGCGGATAAATATGCAGCATGGAGTGCTGTTTGACGAGGACCAGGTAAAAGAACTTCTCTTTAAAGGAAAGGACATATTATGTAAAACACGTGGTTTGATTTATCCAGTACTAGCTACTGTTTCTTTTCTGGTCTGTTAAAATAATTAAACGTTTTAAAGAAACTGGTAATCTTAATGGAAGTTTAGAGCTTGCTTTTTATACTACTTTAAGACCTTAAGTTAATTCATTATCATTATTTTGATGACATTTTTATCCCCGCTTCCTCCGATTGCTCCTTCCATCGTGGTTGCACATTTTCTTTGTAGTGTACTTAATAAGCCATAAAGACTTTCTTTTAAATGGTGCTGTAGCTTTCTGAAGGAAATTTTCTCTTATGTATTTGACTTAGTGTACTGAACTATGAGGTTGTTAAATCGTGCATAGTTTTCTACTTTTGCAGCCATAATGAAAATGTATGTAGAAACTACATAGATACTATCCAGTCTGTTAGTGGAAATATACTCTAAAGCACAGAAGTAGGAAAAAAAAAAAGAAGCAGTATTGTGACTTTTCTTTTTGCTTCAATAGTAAAAAAGGAACTCCTTGCTGTAGAAGTCAATTGGAAGTGAATTACTTCAGTAGTGATGAATTTTAAGATCCTATTGGGAGTCATACTAGAGGTAGGGAGAACATGAGAGAAAATAAAGAGAGGACAAAATTACAGATCATGAAAACACAAAAGAGAGAACCAACACTCACAACCCCCTTGACAATGAGACAAAATAATATATATCCAAAGAAAGGCAAATGAAGTACAGACATAAAAATGGATTATAGAAACTAAAGATAACATCTGCCAATTAAGAAAGGAAAGCAAATTGCCCAATAAAGCATTATGTTGTTAAAATATCTTAATATTTTCAAATGTATGCTTAAGAAAGTCTTATTTGTGGCATCATCCCTATTCAGGAAATCATACACATAATGTGAAGCATTACTGAATAGATTATTACTTGAATCAAAGTCTTTCGTGACCATCAATTTCCCTAAATAGAGAAGCATATAATCACATCGTAATTTTGTTTCTGAGTTAAGTCCAAAGGCCCTTATGCAATAAAACACATGTATATTTAAAGTTAAATATATGTTTAAGAGCTGTACTGTTCAAGGACAAAGGATAAACCTTTGTGCTTACTTAGTATGCAAGTATCTTTATAGCTCCCTTCTTTCACCACTCATTCTGTTTTTTTCTGGACCACATTGAGCAAGAGTACAAATACTATAACTGGGTGATATAACTTCCACCACTGTGGATTAAGAAGACACTTTCCAATTCTGTCTTAGTTGTTATTTGAACTCACTCATTTCTAAATAAAGGTCTAGTATTTTTTCTCTTCTTTGACGTGATTCTTCAGTCTTTGTTCAAGTATTTGTCTGTCACAGTCAGTGAAAACCTGATGGGGGTGGAAAAAGTGGAGCAGGGATCTCTTTCTGCTTAGCTTTGTGGTAGCACTAAAAAAGGAAAGGAAAAGTCTACTGCATTAATTGCAAAAATATTATTTTTACAACTTTACATGTATATGCTCTACGAATTTTAGATTTTATCATACCTTTTTTGTGTATTTCCGTAAGATGCCCCATTCGACATTAGTCACATGAATTTATAGATATCTTTTCCCTTTAACTTTCACTGCAGATTCTGAGTTGGTTTGTGCAGATCTCGTTGGGCTTGAAGCATATTCATGACAAGAAGATTTTACACAGAGATGTAAAAGCACAGGTAGTAAAACTGGTACTGGAGAGAGTGTGATTTTTGTCTTCAGTAAAAACAGGCCTAAGAAGCTCTGCCATGTTTAATTTTCACATACGAGTTTTGGTTTTATTTGCAGAACATTTTTCTTAGTAATAATGGAGAGGTAGCAAAGCTTGGGGACTTTGGCATAGCAAGGCAGTTGAACAGGTAAGCACCTTTTTTAATTAGTCTGTGACCTACACTAGGTAGGACTAGTTATGAGCGTTCAGAATGCAACCTGAGTGTGCAAATTGCTTGTGGATTGGGCTTGTTCAAGACGTCTGGGATACAAAGTGTCTGACACTATGATTTTTCTGCTATCCTAACACATGCCATGAAGTAAGAGATGTGTCTAGCCTAGTAGGATGATCAGAGGGCTGGAGCACCTCCCGTATGAAGACAGGCTGAGAAAGTTGGGACTGTTCAGCCTGGAGAAGAGAAGGCTGCGTGGAGACCTCATAGCAGCTTTCCAGTATCTGAAGGGGGCCTACAAGGATGCCGGAGAGGGACTCTTCATCAGGGGCTGTAGCGATAGGACAAGGAGTAATGGGCTCAAACTTAAACAGGGGAAGTTCAGGTTAGATATAAGGAAAAAGTTCTTTACTGTGAGGATGGTGAGGCACTGGAATGGGTTGCCAAAACAAGTGGAAAGTACTCCATCCTTGTCAGTGTTCAAGGCCTGGTTGGACAGAGCCTTGGGTGACATGGTCTAGGGTGAGGCGTCCTTGCACATGGCAGGGGGGTTGGAACTAGATGATCATAAGGTCCTTTCCAACCCAAACCATTCTATGATTCTATGGTGCTAGTAACTGGACTTTTGTTAGGTATAGGAGGTTTTCAGTGTATAAGCCTTTTTTTTCATTGTGTTTCATTAGTACTATGGAGTTTGCTCATACCTGTGTAGGGACTCCATATTATCTGTCACCTGAGATCTGTGAAAATCAACCATACAACAATAAAACGTAAGTCTCTGTCTTTCCTTCACATGCTTATGCATAAGGGCATGCAGGCACGAGATAACTTATTTTAGCAATATCATGGTTTAGATCAGTATTTCTGCAGGGCACTGGCAATTTCCCATGTGTCATCCTTGTGAAGTTTTGTATTACTGTGTACAATATTTATGTGCATCAACCATATACAGTAACTATGCTATACTGTACAACACTGTCAGTAATATTTTAACTCACAGTGTCTAGAATATAGTAATCACGTATCTGTTATAATTCATCTAAAGGCTTAATATAAATATATTTTTTGTTTTATAAAATTACTTGTACTTTAAACATAAACTTAAATCTAATTCTCTTTCAATACTCCTTGTTAGTAGTGGCATGAAATTTAAAATAGATGATTTTTTTTCCTTCGCTTTATCTGTTTCTCCATCAAATACTAAATTTCCTTCTGTGTTTCCAACATTTAGTAACCAATGCAAGCATGGATCTTTTCAGTTCCAAGGTTATGAATTTTTGATATGCTTAATTGTAATTTATAAAAATACACTAAAAGGAAAGCTGCTAGGTTGGCAATTCTGGAACTCCACAGTAGCTACTTGCAGGAAAGACAAATATGTCTGTGAATTTTAAAGGCTTACTCAGGCTTAACACAAAATACCAGATGAGAAGCACTGAAAAGTCAGGAGCCGAGTGAGCTAGACCCCCTTCTTTGTGTGTGGGATGTGATCAACAGCAAATGTTCTGGAGCCAAGACTAGCATCTCAGCTCTAATGTGCTGTTCACACAAGTTTACTCTCTTATTGTCTCCTTAACTAGCAACTCAGCTAGAGATGGCTTTGTCCTTCATCCTGCTAGGAATACTAAGCAGGGGGCCTACAAGGATGCTGGGGAGGGACTCTTCATTAGGGACTCTAGTGGTAGGACAAGGGGTAATGGCTTTAAACTTAAACAGGGGAAGTTTAGGTTAGATGTAAGGAAGAAGTTCTTCACAGCGAGGGTGTTGAGGCACTGGAATAGGTTGCCCAAGGAAGTTGTGAATGCTCCAACCCTGGCGGTGTTGAAGGCCAGGCTGGACAGAGCCTTGGGCGACATAGTTTAGTGTGTGGTGTCCCTGCTCATGGCAGGGGGGTTGGAATTAGATGATCTTAAGGTCCTTTCCAACCCTAACTATTCTATGACTCTATGATTCTATATCTGCCTTTTCCAGTGATAATGACAGTACCTAGTTAGGTATCGTAGAAACATTGGTACCACAACTAAAAAGAAGCGTCCAGTTGTTCTTTTCAGGGCACCTTAAGAAAAATTAAAATTTGCATCACTATTAATCTTTGATAGATAATGTTAATAAAACTGAGAGCTGAGAAGAGGTACTGGTTACATGTATGAAAATATTATAGTCTTTTCCTTGAAACTTTAATTCCTTTTTATTCACAGAGATATCTGGTCTCTTGGCTGTGTGCTTTATGAACTATGTGCACTGAAGCATCCTGTAAGTATCACAGAATCAGATCATTATTATATTATTAAAACAGATAGTGGACATCCTGGAAAAACTGTAGTAATAATAGTACTCATAGTCAGCCGCTAGACTTACTTTCAGCTTATTTATTGATATTAAAGAATGACTGCTAGTGCTTAATTTCTCACAGTGTGTCTGTTTTGTGCATATTAAAAGACAAAGTATTACACTGTATTTCTGCAACTTACGTATATATGTGTGTGTGTATACGCACATCAAATATATATTCAGTACTTTAGTAGGTACTAAAATCTTTCAAAGGACAGATGAACAATAAAAATAACTAAAGCCAAACTTCAAAGTTAGGCTTTAGTCATATAATTTCACTTATTTCTATTTAAAAATAGCAGTCTATACTTACTAAAGAGTTTGAAACCCACATTTTCCCAGAAAGCAGTTTGTGTCCCCAGAAGCATTTTCCTAAACATTTTGTTTTGCTTCACATACATTCATGTCAGAAAAAAATGACATAGGATCTTCAGGAAGCTGTATTGTTCTCAGCCTGAGCTGATCCTCGGATAATCCTCAGCCTATCAGTATTATGTGGAGAAGGAAACACTGCAGAGACTAATCCCAACAATAGGAAAAGTGTCAGAGACCTGCATGAAGCAGAAGTTGACGTTTTGCTGAGCTTGGATGGTGGAGAAGGAAGAGCAGCACTGATAGGGAGAGCAATTGTGCTGAGCTGAGAGCAAGGGGATACTGCTGAGGAAAATTTCAGATTTCACAAACCAAGAAAACATTAATGTTACTTCTTAGGAATATTAGGTGGTTTATTCTGTATTGCTGCCCATTTATTTAATTTGAAGGCAGGGACCAGATGCTGATGTAGACAGGAAATGCAAGTGAAGCTAAGGCAAATTTTGGCTACACCTCCTTCAAAATAGCCATGTCAATAAAATGGTAATTTTAGAAAGAACTTGCTTGGAAAATTATTTTTGCTGACTTATGAAGAGATCTGATGAACTGGGAGGGCTGATTCATCTGAGTGGCATCAGTTGTTAAAAATCATGATTGGTGCCTGAGAGAACACAGAATGTGGAGGCAGAGGGAGGTTTTGAAGGTGAACACTGGGAAGACTATGTATGCAGGTCTCTGTTTACAGCTTTTGGCAAAATAAAACTTGTTTCATTCTGGAAAAATTGCTTCTGTTCCTGTATGGCAGCAGAGTAGGAATAAAACTCTTCCAGGTCCAAAAGCCATTGGACCTTCTAAGTTGTGCAACTGAAACAAAGAGAATGTAACCACAAAATACAATCAGATAGTGGTTATATTAATTTTACACAGCAAACTTTAGTTAGTAGGAAAGGATTTGTGAGGAGATTGCATAGCACAGGGCTTCTGTCAGCAAGTATGTTTTTTCAAGTTTGGATGTCTAGTCTGTCATTTCCAACCAGGAGTACTTACTGTCCTCTTTTTACTGTTTGATTAAGTTTGAAGGCAATAGTTTGCACCAGCTGGTGCTGAAGATTTGCAGAGGCCGTTTTCACCCAGTGTCTCCCAACTATTCATATGATCTGAGGATATTAATTTCCCAGTTGTTTAAAATATCTCCAAGAGATCGACCATCTATCAATTCTATTCTAAGGAAGCCATTCTTGCAGAAGCTCGTTCTCAGGTATTTGCCCACAGAGGTAAGTGCCTGTACTGCTGCTTGCTGAAAGAAAATTGTGTTATCAGAGAAGTACAAACAGATCTATCAATCAGATACTTTTTTTCTTACAGCTAACACAGGAAGAACTCAGTCGCACTGTGATGCATGGAAAATGGCCTTCAGCATCACAGTCTGGAGCTAAGCTGGTACAAGGTAATATTAGTATTATTTAACATTAATTCTACACTAACATTTGTTAGTTACCGTGTATGTGATAGCTATAACTTTTTCCAGCAGTCTTTATTGCACATTTGGATACAAGAGTTTTGCACAAAGTTAAAAATAAAAACGGGAGAGAAGTGCAAGAGCAGAAAAATACCAAGCAGTGCATCTCTGTCCTGTTCAGGAAAAGACAGCTTTAAGACTAACTCATCAGCAACTTTCAGCTAGAAAAGCTGCTGTGGGAAAGTGCTGAAACATTAGTCTTAATTCTTTTAAGAAGAGAATTTACAAAACTGAGAGCCTTTGGTCTAGCTGCAGTTTAGGTCTGTCACATGAAAAACATCCTGACTTAATTTTACCAAGCTATGTGCAAAAATCTTTGCAAAGCATGTTTTTATTAAATAATAAAAATATTTTACAAAACATTATAAATTGGATAATTGCGAGAGACAATGAACTCTGTTTGGATTAGTGCTTGGATTCAGTGTTTGGATTTAGTGGTTATGCATGCACATTCTTAGAAAACATGAATGAGACTAAATTCTCTCTCTGTATGAACTGCTGAACATCTGGCATATTCTGGAAGCATAACCTTTTCCTCAGTCTATATTCTTCAGTATGTCATAATTATTCCTTAAATTTATCTTTGGATATTAAAGCAGTTTGAACAGGTTTGTGAAAATAAACCTATGTAGTTACTTAACTACACTATGGACTTCCCCCTTCTCCCCCTCCAAAAAAAAAAATGTTTTTTAGTACTGTAGGAACCCATGTTATTTTGCAAATTGCTTTCAATGAAGATTTGTCTGCCTTCAGGACTAGTTGAATTTGGACAAAGGCACCTGAATACCTAAATCAGTCATTTTAAAAAATATATATGATCATATACTCATAATTTTTATATATTTTGTCTCCCAGACATGATACTCTCACAGTCATTACTGAGGAGAGTTTTAAAGCTCAGTTAGAAATGACTTCATGCTAGCAAGGACACTACTTTTCATTATTGCAGCTGAAGTATTTGCAGAATACTGACTGACCAAACTGGAACGGTGTGTAATTGTACTCTCCTACATGGGGAACTGACAAGGTGAATTTTTCACTCTTCATCTCTTCTTTCCCAATTTCACAAGTACTACAACATTGTCTAGTGATTTGTAGAATACTGAGGGCTCAGTTTAGAAATGGGATGCCTAAACAGATACACGCCTAGCCTCCAATGTAACATGGGCATAAGAGTCGGACCTCCTGTTTTCTGTTCTTGGTACAAGTATGAAATTAGCATTTTAGTTTATAGAAGTCTCCTTTTTGTTGAGGGTGCTTTGCAAAACTAATCAATAAGATCCACTTTACATGAGTGTGACAAATCATGATGTTTTCAAAAGCGTGTCATTCTAAGAATTAAAGGCAGAATTCCTAGAAGGTGTGAAGCATGATGATGATAGTGATGATGATGAAAGGACAGGTTGTTAGCCCAACCTGTAGGTGTTGGGTGTATGCACCCTACTGTGGTTTGCAACTACATGATCACTAATCACATAGAGAACACAAAATGTAACTTTTTCATACTTTATTGTTAAAAAGCAGATAAACTTCAAAAAAGGAGAGTCCAGGCCCAAGTTTCTCCGGAATCTGGAATGGTGGTGCCTGTCAAGAAACAGGAATTATTTCAGAGAAATGAATGGAAACCTCCTTCAGGAGGGCAGCAGCCTGTTTTTCAGGTACTGTGCATCCACATTCTCATAATATTTAATCATCTTCAGAAGGCAAGACAGTCTGCTTGTGTATTCTCTAATCTGACACTTCTACACCAAGGGTACAACTTCCTTGCTTCAGACTCCCCACCCTGGTGTCAGGGACCTGAGATTCCTGGATGCCAGTCTTGCTAGTATAGACTGAGGCAAAAAAGGCATTTAGTACCCCAGGCTTTTCCATAGCCTGAGTCACCAGGGCGCCTGCTCCACTGGTCATAGTTGTCAAGCCTTTTACATTTATTCAGATGGCCTGATTTGTACTCCCTGTTGCTTGGGATTGCCATACTTCTGGATACCATATGTAAAACTTATTTCAATGAGGAATAAGATAAACACTTTTTGAGGTTACCTCTTCCTTGGGAACATTATTGGCAGTGGAAAATTTTCTTCTTATATAGATAGGAATTTATATTCTACTGTAATCTGTACTATACCATAGGTAGATAAGCCTGGTTTTAGTGTTTCTAAAAGGGAAAGCAGGGAGGAATAGTTATTTTATTTATCATCTATGGAAGGGATACTTAGATGATTTTTAATTTATTTAAAAGAATAAGCAAAATTCAGCATCTTTCTCATACACCATATAGTGTTTCCACCATGGAAACATTTGCCACGCTTATATCATGCAGTGGCACCTTCTCTCCATTGTTCCTATGAGAAATGGAAAAGACAGTCATCACAAAGTGGAAACACAGGGATGTTTCATCACAATAAGGGTGTTGAGAAATGAAAGGCAAGCTCCCACAGGCATATGATGAAAGAGACAGTGAAATAAAGTAGCACAGTGTTCCCCTGAAAGCAGCAATCAATGCGTATACTGCCCCAAACTACATCCCAGGTTCCCTTTGCTCTCAAATGTCAAAATGAGACTCCCCTGAAATAAATTCAGTGCTTTAGGCTTCAGAACAATGAAGTGACTCTAGGGCAATGGCACTACAGAGTACAAAGCTGATTGACTTGCACAACAGTATGGGTTGCTGCTTAATGACAGGAGTTGATGGAATAGGGGAGAAGGGAAAGACAATTGTAAGATTACATAAAGCCCTGGAAACTTAGGAAGTTTCTGGTTTACATGTGAAAGGATTTGGAAAACTTCCACCAACTGTGCTTCAGACAGTCTATGTTACTGTGTAACTTAAATTCCAGTGGACAGGAAGCTAATTCAAGCTTGTACTGATACAAATGAAAACAGGTAAATTAACATGCTTTATTATACTTTCAGCCACAGTCCTCCAGATTTAAGATGGCAGAAGAGCCAGAGAGTATTAGAGTATATGGCCATTATGGTCATTACTATGACAAGCTTGACAACTTGCAGAGCAAAGCTAATGCACCTCATGAGCTTTCTCATATCAGCCAAAGAGTTGAGGAATATTATAAACTAAAAGGACAAGTTGCACCTCCACCCCCACCACCTGACTGGTAAACTTTTCTCTGTTTATTAGTGGTGAACTGTCATGCATGTTTTGAGTTACCAGCCTTCCTGATTAGGTAACAGTGGACATGGATCATCCAGTATAATTCCTTGTTTGCTTGGTCTTTGATATTTTTCTTACATAAGGTTGTTGCACAACAACATAACTCCTGTTTCTGTGTATCCAGGGGTTCCTTCTGAATATATTGTTCTGATGTTTGACATTCATAATAAAAATGTCTCCCTAATCTCAGCATTTTATTGTGTGAGAAGTAAAACACAGGATTTTTGTAGGCTTTCTAGTTATATTAAGGATAAACACTGTCTTTCGTTCCCACTGGGATCAGATTGATAAAGACCACATGCAGTTCTCTACTTGAGGGAACAGAGTGAAAGGCAGGCCATGAAAATGTTGCTGCTTCTTTTTCCCTGCAGAGCTTATGTTTCAGTTTCAGACATAAAACCCCTTTCTCTAGCAGTTTGTTTACTCCAAAGCCTTTCTCTTACAAAGTAGAGGTACTTTATTACGTTGAAGATTGGCCATTTTAGGTCTGGATGAGCTTTGAAAACCTTGAGAAAGGAAGGTAAGGAATCTTTAATACTGTCTACTTTTGGATCCTTCTTTTAAATTTGGCTAAATCATTAGTTTTCATTCAATGACAACAGTGTTTAGAATGTTTCAGTTAAGGATCGTCAGCTTTAGAACATCTTGTCTGAGCTGAGTTTCTAGTGCCTTTTTTAAGGAAAAGTCAACTCAATTTGCCTCCTGGGGCACAAGTGGATTCTGAAGGTGGGAAGTAAAATAAACAGAAATTGGAGAGCTCCCTAGTGACTGCAGGTTATTGTCTACCAAAAAAAAGTAACCACAAAACAGGGGAAGAAGGAAATAGAAAAGTTGTTGAATATACAACCTCTGCTCTGACAATTTTCACTCATTTTGAGGGTCAGGAACACCAACTTTATTTTCATTATCACTTTCACATACCATCTATCAAATAAAAGGTGGAGAAGGACTTTGTTGCATTCTTCAGAAGAATGTAACTGAAGTCACAGGAAGGGGAATGTCTGAAATGGATATGTTTTCTTTTTCTGATTTTACTGTAGTGCCATATTTATACATATTTTATCCATATTTATGTAGTCATGCAGTACAAAGAAAGGTCTGGTTTTTTTGTATGTGATAGAACCTATAGAGAATTATTTGTGCAGAAGACAGCAGAGAATGTAAAATAAAATGTAGTATATGAACATTTCTCAGGCCTGCAGAATATCTTCAAAGGCGTTTTGAAGCTCAACAGTACAAGATTAAAGTGGAAAAACAGCTGGTAAGTAAATACTGAATCATAGAATAAAATCTGTAAAAGAAAGTGAATGAAAATCCAAATGATGGATTTGTAACAGCAAACTGTAACACTGACAGTGTAGAAAGTTCTGCTCTAGTGAACTCATTGATCTGCTCCACAATTATCATATTGAGGTTTTATTTTCTAATACAAAACTGTAGCAGTGTAAAATTCTACTGTAACATTTTCCTCCAAAAATACACACTTGACTTACTTCACTATTCAGTGGGACAGGGAGACTCAATTGAGTGAGCAGTGAAGAAATTCCTTTGCTTTGGGATTTATTTGTACATCCACAGGGACTGCGACCATCCTCTGCTGACCTGTATAATGACCAGACAGAACACCAGAAAATAAAGAAAGAGCATCTCAAAAATCATCAGCAGGACATGTCTAGAAAGAAGGAAATGAAAGAACAGGTAAATGAAGTATCTTCCTTAGCTACTTAAAGATGTCTTCTTACACTCCTTGACAGTAGCATTCTTCATGTAAGAGTTGATTCTTTTCCATCTGACCACTAGGAAAATGTAAGCTGTTTCCATCTGGTTCCATCTTACATAAACTACTGAAGACTTGCACAAAAGTTGATGTCCATGATAATTTCATAAACCATGGCCTTGGTCTTGATTTCACTTCTACTGAGATCAGAAGAGTTACATCACTGAATAGAGGACAATAGATCCTCTATTGCTGGAGGACAATAGATCCTCACATTTACAAATCAGAGAAAATAGTAATGCATGCATTATTCATCTATATATATTCATTGTACATAAGTCATGTGATGACATTTAAAATATGATATTATACCATGTGGTGCATACTACTTCCCTGGTGCATTATAATTTTGGGTGATTATTTTAAACAGGAACTTGATACTTTCCTGGTTTTGCTTTTGGGTGACAGAGAAAACAAACTGATACTTCTTTCTTACATGAACACACATAAATACATTTAACCTTTCTATGTTTGATTTATTAAAAAATGCAAGAATAAGGATATTAACTTCTACATAATGGTCAGACTTTGGAATAACAATATACTCATCATGTACACATTCTTCAGAGACTGTTGCTGTTTAGCTCCACAAAGTCTGTACTAAATATGCCAAAAAATAGGAAGAAATTTTACAAATTAGTCCAATTGTAAGATGGGCAAATTGGGATAGACTCTCATAAAACACTATGTCGTGACTCTTTATAAATGGAGATGTCCTTAACACAAAAATTATATTTTAGCCATATTTGAAGTTTTTGCACCAAAGCAAAAAGGAAGGAGCATCCATAGGAATGTTGAAGCTTCTGGAATAAAAGATTACCAGGTTTCATTTAATTTTGGGGAGCAGGTTGCAATACAACAAATATTACGTAATTTTTTGTCCTGATTTCCAGTCCTCTGTTTTTGGATTGCAACCTTGGCATCATTACTTAGACAGTCCTTAGATTACTCTTGGAATTAGCTGGTTTAGATATGATTCTACAGAAAAGCTGGCATGAAACAGTCTGAAAAGCTTCAAAAAGGTTAAAGTTTGGAAAAGTTAAAACTCAAAAATGTCCTCTAATATGAAGTAGCAAGCAATCTTTAAATTTGGCTGTAAAGGACACATCCCTTTTTCTCATATGTACACAGTTTGATATCCATAGAATATTTTGTTTAGCTACTGTTATTTCTGTATGTATTTCTACCTTACTGTTCTTTAACAGCAGTACCTGAAACAATTGCAGAGAATTCGAGAAGAATACCACAGCGATATAAAAGATTTCAGATTCAGAGCAGGTGTGCTCCAGGTAACAGAGCTCAAACACGCACACACTCGTCCACGTACACCCTTTTTCTTTGTGAAGTTAGTACATGTGATTAGAAATTGAAATTTTATAAAAATGTTCCCTAGGAGAATCAAAAAATACAAGATAAAACTTATCTTGTGAGGCCAGGGAAAGCAGAGGACCAGTCTGGAACCGAGGATACAGCTGGAACAGGAAAAGAATCACTTCAGGTATCGGTACCATCTCCTAGTCTAAACATAACTTCTTGTGCAGGTCCTTAATGGTCTTTGATTCACTCTCTGTGGCAAATATGAAGAATGGTAAAGCTTAAATCTTATCTGATACTTGCACTGTATGGGAAAATCTCCCTACGTTCCCTTCATGAATAGCCTGGAAAGTTTCTTTGGCCACGTCCTGACTTGTTTTGGTAATTATTTTTCATCTGTAAATGTTAGGATGTACTTTTACTTGATTACTTTTTGTGGTTTCTTTTCCTTGCTCTCTGACTGAAGTTAAGAAGCCACTCACAGTGCGAATCTTTATGAGAATTTTATGCAGAAAATGTAGCACTTCGTGACAGCCCAAAGTAGCACTGTGTCAGAAGTTAGAATCCAGTTTTATGTGGAGTCCTTACTTAAACAAAAATCTGGGAGAAGCAGGAGGAAGAGGCAGAGTCAAAGCTTTCCAGCTACAGTACTCCTTCACTTCTTTCTCCGCAAATACTACTAAAGCAGCTACTGGAATGGAGTTTCAGAATTGTTCCACTTTTACTTTGCAATATTGACATTGAGAACACCAGAGGAGGTTTCCAAACCACACGGACTTCTGCAACAAGAAGTCCACTTCTCTTCAAGTGAAATGAATGAAAGTCTCAGTTGATGCAAATTAGCCTTAGCGTGCAAATACCCAGTATAATCTGAAGGGAAAGCAGCCCTGATCTAGCTACTAGGATTCTTCAGTCAGGATTTGCCTTATGTGTTGTAGGACTATTGCACTGTTCAGCCTGAGTCATCTTGAATATGATCCTAAAAAATAAATTATGTAGTATTTATTTTTTGACACAATACTGTATCCTCCAAACACAGGTTTTTGAAATATCAGTTTTGCACTTTATGCAAGGTCTTCAATTTTTCTTTTTGTCAGATAAGCCGGAATTGGCAAATAATGGAATATTCTTACAAATATATGTACAAGGAAATCAGTGACTACATTTATGACTTACACAAGTCTTTTTTTCACAGGATATATACATATTTTGATTCCAAAGAGTGCATTTTAAAGTTGGATTTTTTTTCTCCTTCCAGGACATGGAAGAAAACTTTAAACAAGTCAGACTCCAAGATAGGCAAGACCAAAAAATCTTGGAAAAGAAACATAACACAAAGGTATCCATCCTCATTGTTGTACTTTTTTTCCATTTTCTTCTTATGTCTGTGCATTTCAAATGATTGTGTTATCATGGTAGCTCTGGAAATCAAGTTATCTGAGAGTCAGTCAGGAGTGGTCTACTCTTTGTTAAAAGTTTAGATGGAAGATAGAATCACTAAGAAAATAAATGAGCTTTTCTGATAATTTGAGGGAGGCTTCCTTTAGATATTCCCAGATAGTAATCAATCCCTACCTACTCATCTTTATACCAAACTGCACTAGTAGCATATGGGAACTCATGTTTAGTCAAAGTTTAAGTGAAGTCAGTCTGCTAATTTTTTAACATTTTGTTATAAAACATTATTCTCTACAGTGCTTTTTAAATTCTAGAAGGGGATGGGAGTTCAATGGAAATGCACGTAAGATATCAGGAAGGTTTCTGACCATAAGATCATTGTGAAGTGAACTAAAGGTCTTTCGTGAAATACTGCAGAGAAGCAGTACCGTATTCAAATTTTAATACTCACTGAGAACCAGCTGTAAGAACCAACTGTTGGGTATAGCAAGGATTTGAATTAAATGATTATCAGAGACACCTTTCCTTAAAATAAAAAATGGATGCAATCATTTGAAAATAGCCATAAACTATATCTAGAGAAGTCTGCTTTTGTCCAGTTTGTTCTACTCTGATCTTGTTAAATAGAAGAAAAATATTGTTAAATAAAAGTTATTGTCAATGCAAGAATAATTTTCAAGTTTGTACTTCCATATAAATTGTGTACATTTATTTAAATGTTTTTATTTAATAAAATGAATTAATGAAGTGTGTGATTTTTCTTTAGGGAGGTGTAAAGTTTGAAATTAATTTGGATGTATGTGTTCCTGAGGAAGAGGGTGTGCAAGAAGCAGAGGTAGTTATATTCAAAGCATTTACATTAGTAATCTGAAACCACACCAGTAGCTCCATGATCTAGAGTTTGTTTCCATTACCTTCATCCTCTGCTTTCATTATAATGGCGCTTCCTATGGAGGAATTGTTGACATATTGCATATATCTGACCTTCCTCAAGAGGATAACTGCTTAGAAGAAAATTGGATGATATCTGGGTCTATCTTTCACATGGTAAATGACGAAGGAGTGCAGATACTTAAATTTTGTAAACGGGGCTTAAAGGGAAGAACTCATCTCAAAATTGAGCTGTTCTGCAAAAGCCGAATTTGATTTGTAAGTTATTTTATTACACTTCTATTTCTTTTCACTAGTATTGTGTCACGAAGCTAGAATAATATTGCAATGAACCAGATGTTATTTAGGAAAATGTGGAAGTGAGACTACAGACAACATTATGGATTTCATTTATTAAAATGACGTTTGTGGCTGATCAATGTAATAGCTGCCTACAAAGATTTTTATTAGGATATTAGAATTTTGTAAGTGTTTGTAACAGCTACATCAAAAATACAACTTCTTTTAGTATATATATTTTTTATTTCTAAAGCGCTTTTTTGTCATTCTGTTGTTTCCCATCTCTGCAGAGTCCCATGCAGCACCTCTGATACACAAATCAAAACACGATTTTTGAGTTCTGCTGCTTCACTTTTTGTTACACAAATTTCCTCTGCATACATAAGGATAGTGAAAAGTGATTTGTTAATGTACCATATGTATTTTCTCTTTCCAGAGTAACCTATTGTTTTTTCAGGTACCAGATAAACTCGGTGAGACTTTAACTTTTGTGGATGGTGGGAATCTTAAGGAGAAATTGGTGGAAGTTTATGAGGATCATGTGAAAAGAGCTTTGGAAGAACTATCTGCATACCAAACAGGTATTTCTTGGGGAATGCAATGATGAGTATTTATCCTGAAAATTACATAGGAGTTAGGTAAATTCAGTAACTTTAACCTATAACAAGTTTATCTGATGAGCTCTCTCTTGATATCAGACCATATTATAATTACACTTAAATCTACTGTAAAAGAAATAACTTTGCCTACCCTTTTTCTTCCCGTAAGAGTCCAATGACATAGATGATAGGAAAGAAAACAGAAAACATTGGCAAGCTGGAGCCCCTCAGACACTACTGAAATTCTCAGCCAATGCTGATCTCACATCTGTATATCCTGCTATGGCTGCAAATGAACTTGGTAAGAAAGTTTTGGTTTTCAGTGAAAGTAGGGAGCTGCTAAAATTCACCCAGGCTATTTGCAGACCTTGGCCAAAACAATTCCATACCAGAATAATCACATGATCTGACAGGCTTTTAATTGCAGGACTTCATAATAACTGAGGTTATTGTATGTGTTAAACTGTAGAATACAGTTGTCATTTTCCCATTTAATATCGCAATCATGTTGTGCTGCTCATACATATTAAAAGGGCTGAATTTAATGAATCACTCTGTGGCCTGGGTAACAACAGCTAAAAAAGCCAGTCTGTCCAACTTTCTCAGGCCTTGAGCTGGCACAAGAACTAGGGCAGTCAGTTGCCAATGTCATCCCAGGGTGTGACAGAGTTCTGTTTTTGCACTCCATACACTAGTGTTGCCACACAGCCGCGAGTGCATGCTCACACAGCTACGGCTGTGGGGATGCTCCATTTCAGAAGAGGCTGATGGCAGGTTTGTTACAGTACCAGTACGTATGTTCTCAGGCAGCCAGGTATCTCCAGTGACTGGTTGCGGCAACCAAGGAGCTCTTCCAGCATTCAGCATACTCCCAGAACCCCAGATACCCAGAAATAACCTGAAGAATTTACACAGATGGTGAAGACAAAGCAAAATATTAGAATCACAGAATCATAGAACAGTTTGGGTTGGAAGGGACCTTCAAAGGTCATCCAGTCCAACCCCCTGTAATGAGCAGGGACATCTTTATCTAGATCAGGTTGCCCAGAACCACACCCAGCCTGGATGTCACCAGGGATGTGTCTTGAATGTCTCCAGGGGTGGTGCATTCACCAGCTCTTTGGGCAACCTGTGCCAGTATTTTACCACCCTCATTGTAAAGAATTTTTCCTCACATCCAGCCTGAATCTCCCATCCTTTAGTTTAAAACCATTACCCCTCATCCTATTGTAACAGGCCCTGCTAAAAAGTCCCTCTATTATTAATATGCCACTTCTTGTTCATTCTGTCTCAGACGAAAGAGAATAGGGCACAAAAGAAATAGGAACTTCTTTGAAGCGTTTTCAGCCCCAGGATGCCAACAAGTTTGCGAGTAAGGACTGCTCAATGAATTAAGCCTGTCTAAGCAGTTACTTGAACATTAAAACTGATGTTCAAAATTTTTGGTGATAAATAGTCCAAACTATTTTTTCTCTACAGTATTGATCAGATCAAATACGTATAAAAAATCTCAGGAGTATTTCATAAACCTGAGAAAAAAAAAAATAGGTTCCAGCATTACCCAAAGGGAAGAAATCAGTGTCAAAACTAGAAAGTGTGAATCTGACAAAAGACAGTGTCAAGCTACATTCATGCTTTAGTGACCTGAGAACCATGCTGTTCTCCAGCTGACCATGCTGTTCTGCCTGAAGACATCCCAAGAAACAGGAAGCAATGGAAACGAACACCACCAGGGACATTCCTGAACATCTTAGTCAAAGCAGAGCTATCTAATGATTCCTTCAACCATCTTGAAGAAGAAATAGGTAGGATGTTTGTTACAGTAAATTCTGCAAGCTTTTCTTTACTGTATTATTTCTTCTACCACTGGCAGCTGGTCTTTGATGAGAACCATCATTTTGAAGCAGTTGGCAAAGTAGAAGAACAAGGGCAGCCTGTCCCAGTAGCCACTGCTCTGTCCTGTAGCAGGGAAAGGCCTGTTTCAGGATGTCACTGTTTTCAGTAAGCAGGAAAATGGACAAGCCATACTTACTGGCTCTTACTTTCATATGTAATTCTTTTATTTGCTTGAGTGGACAGAGGTAAGCTACTACAGCTAGCACATTGGCAGGTACCATGAACCTGGATCTAGCCCCTGCAACTGTTATGGTTGCAGAACCCTGTAAAAAACATGCAAATACATGTATTTCCGTAGAACAGCTGTAAACTGTAGTACACGGTGACTGAAACTCCACTGGTGTCTTACTTTACAAGGTGGTCCATGCTGATACCACTGACACTAAAATAGATTTGAGCTCACACTGCAATGCACTTTCCCAAAGTAATAGACTGTTTTAAAAATGACATTTACTTTGCAGCAAAGTTGTTAGCTAAAAAACTTGAGAGTGTTTTCCACAGAAAGACACTGTAAATGTATCCAGACATTATGGTTTTATGCACAGTTGCCAATCTACTGAATGTGTAATTGGATGATGGGACTTTAAGGCAGGCAAACATGCCAAGTTTCAACAATTTTAATGGATCGTGAGAAATACCTTTCATTTGCAACTGTGCAGTTAGCACTCTCCTGCTAATTATGCCTCACATACATATTTTCTCGTAGCATAACAAGCTCTTTCAGAACTGCACCATTCTGAAGGCTAAACCAGCTAAATGTGCCAGCTAAATTCCTCTCCTAAGACTAGCTTTATTGCCTATAAATTAAAAAAAGAAACAAAACCACCAAAAAGCCTCAACAAACTTAAATTCAAACCACTTTTCACAAATGTCTGCAGTTCATAGGACTAAAGCAAGAATAAGTCACACAGGTATTCTAGTTGCTGTTGCTTTTATCAATTAGATTTATTAAAACACGATACTCTCTCAAACCCAACAACAACTCTTAGCACTGTTATCCCACCTTCAGGTTAGGGTCACCCTTCAGTCTTGAAAGCGAGCATTTTTAGGTAACCATAACTACATCCAAGTATAATTTTCTGTCTTTCCCAAGTAGTACTCCCCTAAGTTTTCCACTGAAAATGCAGATCCCTGTATTGGGAACTTAAACATACTAACATCAGATTGCCTTTCTTACTTAACTTTTACAGTCCTTTGGTTATGGTCTACAAACACACTAGGTTCCACTAAGCAGAAGTTACAAACCACTAACTAAAAGGTGTGATCAAGAATAACAGAAGCCTGGTATTTACATTGTTGTGATGTAAACAACAGAAACATTGAAGCAGTTACCTATTTGCTATTATTTTACATACACTTTTGCAGTTAGCCAATACACAAATGAATGTTTCTCTTCCTCTCCAGAAGGGAGGTTAACTATGGTGCCTCCTAAAGAAAACAAGGAAGATGATTCAGGACCATGCTCTGCTTTTACTGTTGATGAAGGCAGACTTGAGCCAAGATCAGATGGTGAAGACACGTAAGTCAAGCTCTTCAGAAGAAAAATTCATGGAAGTGAATGGTTTTAATGAAATGACAGGTTGCATTGCCTAAAGCTTTTCTTCTGTTGTTTTAATTTCGTACATGAATAAAACTTACTTGTTTTACAGACTCTGCTAATTTAACTGTTAGTTCTGTAAATTATTGTGTCACATGCCAACACTGTCATTAAAAATGTTATGCAGAAGTATTAATGTTCTTTCACCTTACAAAGACAGGTAAACAATCTCACAGAGAAAGAAGAAAGAGTTCACATTATGTGTGTCACTTGTATGGTCTTTGTAAAATGTTTTAAAAAAACCTCAAAGGCCTTGAAAGGAGAAAGGTTTGTAACAAAGATATATTTAATTCATAGAATTATCTTGGTTTACTTTACAGAAATTTTGAAGATTCTGAAGATGAACTCAGACATGAGCTGCAGGAATCCCTGGAAAAAGTGGCAGCTTCTCCAGCAGAGAGAACCACGGAGCCTTCCATTCTTTCAGTAAATAAAGGTCAAGCAGATGAAGAAAAGATGCGTTTACCTCACAAACTACTTGGAGGATCTGATGATGATGATTTAGAAAATAACCATGGTTCATTTAGTGTTGACACACATAATGAAAAAGGCAAGCAGGAAGCAAGAGCTACCTAGAACACCGCCACTCTTACTGTTTCAAAACTTGCTTGAGATTTCAGCCACATCAGTGACAAGATTTAAAGATAGCAGATATTAAATGCCAAGTAAATCAACTGCTTTTCAACAGTGCTAAATGCTCAATTAAAGTTAATAGAAGATTGATAGTAGTTTGTTTAAAAGGACAAAAATCAGGCTACTTTTCAGGTGTCTAACTGTTGAAAAATCCTCTCCTAGACTGAAATGCATTTTCATCTATTCTAAACTACCTGGGACATCTCTGTCAACACTTGCTTGAGCAGATTTCTGGTTGCATACTCTCTTTAGCCGTGTTTGTATCATGTAAGAAAGTCTCCTAGTCAGTATACTGTATTTCCCTAGCTTAATCACCTTCTTTTTTAAGAAGCTTTTCCAGCTTTTCATGATCTCTATGTACTGCCAATACAGCTTTGTAATCCGTAATTTAATTTACATGGTACTGACCATACATAAGTATCACCAACTGCTCAGCAGTTTTAATCAGTAGCAGTTAAAGGGTTTATTAGCACCCTGAGACTTGTGCATTCCCCAATTCCTAACAAAATAAGGGCTAGTAGGTTCTTCCAACCATATTTTTTCATATACAAAATTTCATATAATCCAGACAAAGCTTAAACAGAGGAAAAACCTCATTCTAAAGTCTAATTTCAGTAGCTTTTTCATAGAATTGCAGAATCATTTTGGGTGGGGACAATCACTGCCCTGGCCCTGCTGGCCACACTATTTCTGATACAGGCCAGGATGCTGTTGGCCTTGTTGGCTGCCTGGGCACAAGCTGGTTCATGTTCAGCCATCAGTCAGCACCCCCAGGTCCTTTTCCATGAGCAGCTTTCCAGCCACTCTTCCCACAGCCTGGAGTGTTGCATGGGGTTGTTGTGGCCCAAGTGCAGGACCAGGCACTTTGCCTTGTTGAACCTCATTCCATTGGCCACTGCCTGTTGATCCAGTCTGTCATGATCCCTCCTAAGAGCCTTCCTACCCAAAAGCAGATAAGGCCATGCAGGAACCATGTGTGATCAGGCAGTTGCACCAGGAGAAAGAGAAATGTAAAGAATGTGCAAGTCTCAGGGAGACTATGAAACTTTCCTTAGTTTGCTAAAATATAAAATACTGCTTTGATGGCTCAAAAAAGGACTGTATGTTTTTTCATTTTTGATACAAAATCAGATACCCAATTTTTTAACATTTTTTTTTCCTCACAGTGTTCTGTTTTAGAATAAGCAGTAGCTTAGGGCATTAACATTCATGTTCTGTAGCATTTAGTTATGCCCTCTAACCTAGACCATTCTGTTCTTTAGGAACAGAAAACAAACCTTTCAACAGAGTAGGGTTGGAAAAATACCATTGAGTGTCATAGTGTGAAGGGCCACATATTAAAAAGCAAGTTAGCAAACCCACCATATGGTTAACGTAAAGGAATCACTGGAGGTAATGAAATCTCCACAACCACAATTAAAATCCTACATAATAGAGTTTTGCCACACAAGGGGGGACAGCAAATTGAAAATGTGCTGTAGCTTCCGGAAAAAGTCTTCTGGATACAAAAGTTATCAAACAGAAGTGCTGACTTTAAAAAGCGTGACTGCGGGTGAAGAGACATGAAATGAGCGGAGACTGCAAGTATTCAGTAACTAGAACGACTCAGATGTAGTTTGGTACAAGGCAATGTAACGGGTTTTGCAGTGCACCATACTCTCATGGAGTCAGCACAGAGAATTTGCAGGAGCATTTCCCAGCAAAAAAAAATCGTTATATAAAGCAGATCCTCTAAGAGAAAGAAAACCAAATCTCTTTATTGAATGGGACCAAGGGATAATAGATTAGATGTATTTACAGGTTACACACAGTCAAATATAAAAAGTTAATTTTACTCATATACATTTTTATTCATAGATATTTATTTAAATAATGGCTCCACAGACAACAGGAATGTTTCTTCAAAATGCTGGTCAGAAAACCTGTGCACAGAGCGACGGGCGTTTTCTCTGATCTCTAACCTTTTTTCAGGAGACAAAGAGAGGATATGAGCCATCCTCTCAGCGTATCTGTCCTCGTTTTCTGCTAGGAAGCCTGTGATGTGTCCTTCAAAGGGTACCACAATATCTAACTTGGGGCCTCCAGAGCTGTGAGCCAGGATGACTGTGCCAGCCGCCATACATTCAACGACTCCTGTAAAAGACACGGAACATGCTGATCTGAACGTGTACATCACGGACTCTGCATTTCTATAAGGCACAGGAAAGTTAAAACCACTATAAAATTCACCCGGAACTGTAAGTTACTATAGACTGCTGTTCTAGTGCAGTTTGAAGAATGATCTTGTAACAAAAAATAACAAAAGCATACCGAGGTTTTTCAGTCCTAAGGACTGAAACATGTTTCTCTTAAGCACATAAAACTGAAATTAGAAATCATATATGATTGGTTAAGTTGTGGTTCTTGTAACATTTCACCCAAGAGAGATTTTATCACCAGCATAATCAGTGGGGGAAAAAGAGCTAGATAGATACTGAAACAAATGTAAAGATGAACATGGAAGGTAGCTCTGCGACTGAGCCCTGCATAGTTCTGCTTTGCTGTGACAGAACGCTGCAAGACTGGTGGCAGCGGTTTTAACTGGTGATTGTGGTTTTAACTTCATGGCATGGTGGCAGCTGCAGAAAACTAATTAAAAATCAGAGCTGATCATAACTGTATTCATTATCTCATTCACACTGAAGAAGTTCAGCATCTGGAAGGATACTGAGAGAAAAGCTGACTGCACATTTCAATCGGATGACATTTGGAAGTTCAGTATTTTGCAAACAAAACAAATCTTCACAGCTTTTGACAACTCAGCACAACAAACTAGTAAAAAATGTTACATTTGTAGAAGTCTGTATTTTTGATGGAAGAAGTTTTCATGAAATGGGAATCTGACAGTAAGCTTTCCCCAGCCAAAACTAGTGGGATAGGAACCGTGTGTAATACACATATCAACTTCAATTCTCCTCTGTGGTTCCAGAACAGACCTCAGAAACCACTTTAACTGCTGATCATTCCCGGGTCTGATTCAGTTTTTAAGAAATCCCCCCAACTCAAAAATCACCAACTATAAATAATGCCCCGCAGTTTTGGAACATGTTTTTCACAGGTAAAAAGACACTGCAGGTGAAGGTGACATCATGCTGCAATGCAACATCAGTGTGATTTTATCACTTTTTTAAATTTACTTAATTAAACTGTTTTATGGGGGAAATAAGAGAAACCATTATTTCCATTTTGTTGTAGTTGCTTCTAAGAGACACTTCAGAGAACATTTTTCTATACCAAGTTCCTATAAACTGCTACTCCTGATACATACTTGTATTCTACTAACATCTGGTGGCATTAACTGCAGTTTAGTCACATTATAGCCAAGTACAGCATCCAGCTGCTTGGCTGCTAACTTCCCCTCTTGTAGAGCTATGGCAGATGGGCAATCTTGCATTCCCTTCCAAGGTCAGGACTCAACTAATCCCAATAAACTGAGCCCAGTATCTTCCTGCTGTATGACAGCACACTGCAAATGATGTGCCAGCTCCTCTTCGGCCTTCTGCTCCATGCTACAGAGCCTGATTTAAGGACTCGATTTGCCTGCCTTAGCACAGGTGCTTGGTGCAATGAGATAACCATGGTGACATCTACATGGGGATCACAAATAAGAGACAGGATATGTGGGAGACTCACAGCTCTGAAACAGCAGCTAGAGCTCCATGACATAAATTAGGCATTTCAAATGGCAGTTGAGGCAGGTGAACACCATCAAAATCTCTACACATGGATGTCTACATGTCAACTGTGTCTAAGCTTCCCCTGCGGTCTGTGGAGCTAACAGGACACAATGTAAGGTGCCCAAACAGAAGCACCTGCTGCCTTTTGAGGCTCTGCTGGGTACGGAAGGCACCTGTGTAAGGCTGACAAACCTGTCACAGGAGGATGACCCATGAATTCACAGACTGATAGCTGCACATGAGACAGGACATCTTGGGCAGCACAGATGGGACTCTCTCCCTCTTTAGGTGCCTAAAGCGTGCCCCTAATTAAGAATGTACTATACCTACAGCGCTTTAGCTTGCACTACAGTAGCACCTAGTGGTTGCTGACCTCAACTGGTGCTGTATGCTTTACTTCAGCTAGACTGCCGCTGCCAAGACCTGAAGTTGGACACCTGCTTGGCACACAGGCCTCTACGCTTAGATACCTGCACTAAGAAGCCTTAACCATGATCTGAAGCCCTCCCCAGCTGTGTCCCCAGCTGGAATAAATGCCTGAACACTGAGGAAAGATACTGACCGATCCCAAAGTGCTCATTCCACATTGTATGCAGGCCGATGGTGGCCTCAGCCAGATGTCTCTTTAGCTCCTCAAAGGGAATGTTTATTCTGAATGTCACATTGTTACTAACTCCCAGTTCTTCACAAAGACGTTTAAGGTTATCTACACGCTCTTCATCTTGCTGGTTACGACACCCTCCAATTAAGATAAGCTTCAAGGATGGCTGCTGCCCCAGCCTCTTCTCTTTCAGCAATTTAGCAAAAGCTCTGATTTGCAAAGAATGATCTTTTTCAGGTCTGAACTGGCCAATGGAAACAATGGAATATTCACAGTTGCTCTTTTCCACTAACAGTGGAATATCCAGGAAGGTCTGAACATCGCATGGTGGATATACAACACTAGTGCAAGCCCCAGCTCTCCAGAGGGAAAGGATGTGATTTAGTGTCCAAGAAGAATTAACCATGACCACATCACTGCAGGATCCAACCAGTCCATACATGAAGGCAAAGAAGTAGTAGTAGACAAGTTTAAATCTGCTGAAAAGAGGACTGTTTGTAATGAAGGCTGCGTTGTTAAACCTGGTGTCCTGATTCCTAACGACAGAAAGCATGTCAGTGCTGATAGTGGGGTAATGGACGTAGCATCCAACGTGGCAACCTCCTAAGTATTTAAAGAGGGGAAGTGTGAAGGCATAACCCATTGAGTCGATATAAATATCAGGAACACACTTTAGAAGAGCTTCCCAGCCGAGGAACACTGATCCTAAACTCTGTCCCAGCAAAGTGAAGTGAGGGTAGAGAGAAGCTTCCACAAGGTAGCGTTTCTCTAGAAACACAAACTTCACAGGGTGAGTTAATTTAATACTGAATCTCCTGAAAGCACCTTCTACTATTTCTTCTCCAGTAACATCTCTATCACCGGTGTAAACCACACACGTCACATTTCTGTACCTGCAACAGTAAAGAAAAAGAATTTCATACACTTCACACTTTTTAACATGAAACTAAAATATTATCAGTTCAAAATTACTCAAGAAGTATGTGAGAATAAATGACTGGCCCAGCTCTGAAATGATTTTAACTAAATTAAACTTTTCCTTGTATTTCCACAGGATTCTTCCAATCTGCAGAAAAACATACAGCTGAGGACTTGGGGAATATTTATTATTTTTAGTAAAAACATAAAAAGGAGTTCAGCATTATCCTACAGACTTAAGAATGCATTGTCTTACACTAGGAGATGTCTGTCTAGTGCAGAGCATGAGTAAATGCAGAAGACTCTGCAAGCCAACGTATGTGCCAATGTACATCCAATTCACATATTAAAACGTTCTGCCTCCTGCACCAAGAGGCATACGCTTACTTTTTCTGGAGCGTCCTTATGGCACACCACAAAACTCTCTCCCCTCCGCCACCTGCATTGCAATAGGGGTGGAAAAAGGCAACCAGCAACGGCCGCTTCCCATCTCCTTCTGCTGAGGTCAGCTGCTTTTTCCTTTGCTGTATCCAGAGCCGTATTCCCCACAGGAGAACCACCACGCAGACACACAAAATTCCACTTAGAAATAATGCAGGGATTAACAATGAGCACAGCAATCTGAAACAAGCCGGAAATTTTAAACTATAAAACTGCTTTACAGAAATACTGTGTATAAAACTGAGAAAGAAAGGCTGACAGGTAGAGCTACAAGATGTTTAGCAAGTTCTTGAGGTCTAATCTCAGAAATCGATTATTTGTGTATCATTTCAACAATTATGGAAAAAAAATTAATTCTATATTGCTTAGCCAAAGACTTTTCTTCTTACTGTAACCTCACAATCTTTTCACTATTCATGCCATGTATCTGTATCTTCATCTATCTCCATGTGCTATGGACACTGTATAGGTTGCATACCCTTAGCAATCTGGCACACGACTAGCAAAGTGATTTCTAAGTAGATTTGCAAGAGTTTTCTTCAGTCCCAGGTCCTGCTTGGCCTGTGTCTGTGTGAGCTGCTTTGGTGCAGTTACTTGGGCCAGCCTGCAGTGCATAGAATCATAGAATGGTTTGGGTTGGAAAGGACCTTAAGATCATCTAGTTCCAACCCCCCTGCCACAGGCAGGGACACATCGCACTAAACCATGTCACCCAAGGCTTTGTCCAACCTGGCCTTGAACACCGCCAGGGATGGAGCATTTACCACTTCTTTGGGCAACCCATTCCAGTGTCTCACCACCTTCACAGTAAAGAACTTCTTCCTTGTATCTAACCTGAACTTCCCCTGTTTAAGTTTTGAACCCATTACTCCTTGTCCTATCACTACAGTCCTTAATGAAAAGTCCCTCTCCCGCATCCCTGTAGGGCCCCTTCAGATACTGGAAGGCCGCTATGAGGTCCAGAACCTGCATATTCCATTCCCGTGAGATTTGAAGAGCTATGTCAACTGTCCAAAAAGGCTGAGCAGCTTCACTGACTGCAGAGACCCGTGGTTTGGGTTACCTGAGGCACTGAGAGGCGTACTCCCTTTGCTCACCACCACCTCCCTGCACAGCTCTCCTAACCCAGGAAAGGGAGGCTTCTCGCAGGACTCTCTTTGTCTACAAAGCACCACAGGCCACGGCGCCTGCTTCCTGAGGCAATACTACGCGTTATGATAAACATCATTTACTCGACCCTGCAGGAGCTGCCCACGGCAAACCACGCGTCACGCCTGACACCTGAGATAACGCTTTCATTCTCGGGACGAAGCAGCGGAAAAGCACATTAACCCATCCGAGGCCGGCGGCACAGCCGGGCCGGGACCGTCCCACTTGGCCCCGCTCTCCTGAGGGGGGAACGGGGCAGGCT